CTAAATGAAATGTCAGTTTTTGACATTTAAATAAAGTTCCAACAGAAAAAAAGACCAAAACAGGTAAACAGTGTGATGTGCTGAAATCAGCGCATTGCATTGCTTCCTTTACAGGACATACCAGTGACCTTGCAGTAGTGTAAACAAACCTTTAGTCTAGAAACGTGGTTCATGCCTTTTGTTATTGTTATCTCTAACTTTACTCTCTGGGCTGCTGCAGGAAGCTAAACATACAGACTACGACCGGTATTCAGAAGATGGGATAACATTTTCCATGCATGCCTCTGCAAAAGGAATCCCTTGACACACTTCTACTTGACGTACCAGAGGTCTGCCACTTGTGACCTCTTCTCCAACAGCCAATCACTATCCCCTATAGGGATCACTGACATTACTCCCTTCATCATGTGACAGACATGACGAAGGGAGTAATTATTATTATTATTAGATAGTATTTATATAGTGCCAACAGTTTGCGCAGCGCTTAACAATGTAAGGAAGACATTACAATTACAATACAATTCAAGACAAGATGGTAAGGAGGGCCCTGCCCCTGAGGGCTTACAATCTAAAAGAGGAGGGGGAAATGATACATGAGGAGGTAGCTGTGAGGGGATGAATTATTTGAGAATGTGATGTGAGTAATGTCAGTGATCCCTATAGTGACTGGGATCGGAAAGTTTTCAATAAAAAACTAAACTCTAAACAGATAAATAGGCACAAATGAGTACAAATGAGCGGCTCTGTAATCAGTAATTTGTGTTTTAAATGGAAGCAATGTAACTACCTGAATGTGATCTGATATCAATCTCTGGTGGTGGAGTATAAGAGAAATAAGCACCAGGAGGACAATCTGGGCTCAGAAGAAGTGGGTTCATTGACACGGGCCTTCAAACTGAGGGCATCTTGTGGTGGAATAGAAGTACTGCAGGGGACAACTCTGGATTGAAAATGAATATTTCAACGAAAGCTGTTTTTTTAATTGTATCTTTTAATAGGCTATTATTATTTATCTTGACATTGTTGGCTGTTCTGCTTTGAGAAGTATGTCAAACAAGCAGAATAGCCACAGTGTGGAATGTAGAATAAAAAATGGCATTGTACTAGAAGCTGCTGAGCTCCAAGCAGTTGTGTATGAAGTTGTAGTCAGACTCTTTTAGTAGCGCGTGTATATGTAGTAATCAATGTTTCGATTAGCAAAGGTTCCCTGTAATACAGCAGAGGCTGCTGAATATAATGGCTTGCTAATGTGACTAGTGAGAGTGCTGGTATGGCTACCTCTTTGCACAATGGACGGTGATAACCCTAGTTGTATATACACATGACCAGATAACAGGTCATCATAAAGGCTGTACTTTTCTGGCATTTGGCACGTACTGTATTTGTCTACCACTTATGTTAAGCTTCAGCTACTGAGAACTGTTTACTCTATTATTATTATTATTATTATACAGGATTTATATAGCGCCAACAGTTTGCGCAGCGCTTTACAATATAAGGAAGACATTACAATCACAATACAATTCAAGACAAGATGGCAAGGAGGGCTCGGCCCCTGAGGGCTTACAATCTAAAAGGGAGGAGCCAGTGATTCATGAGGAGAGAGCTGTGTGGGGAGCTGCATTGAAGTCAATGGCACCGCAGGCACCCCCCCTCCTCCCCCGACCCGCAGTGCGATCGCCTGTTTACATTAGTGCCTACGTTCTGGTCCAGTGTGATCTGCAAAAATGCTACTTTTTTTGCAGATCACACTGGACTGGAACAACCTGAACTCAGGGAGTCGGCCGGCTTGCATGCCAGTGTGTTCCAGAGGCAGAGCGCTCTGGAGCTCAAACTTTGTGGTGTGAACTGGCCCTCAATGTGTGTTTATAACAGGAGCAGTGAATTAAAATCCAAGGAGGTCCAGTGAATAAAATTTTCATTCACGGTCTGGAGAGAATGGTCATAGGTGTTTGTGTCTGTACCACGGTCCGCCAATTTGGCTGCATTGACACTAGCAGCAGCACTACAACGCACAGCTGCTGGTGCATGTTCCCAGGCAGAGTGCTGATAGGCTGGTCCCGGTGCATCGTACTGTTTTTTCTTTTGTTAGAAGTCCCCCCATTCCCCTGTTTACATACATGTGCATGTCTTACACACACGTGTTCATTAGAATTAGATGATGGGGTGGCAAGGTTACTGACAAGTCACTATGTGACAGCATTTGGAAATGACAGGTCCTCTTTATGGAGACATCAGGGGTCTATTAGATTCCACCCTCCAATACAGTCACATTCCTGTGCTTGATAGTCTGTTTACCCGGCACTTTAGCTGGCTTTTCACAGCTGAAGCATAAAGTGCTGAGCGCAGTCCCTGCTTCGCTGATCACAGAGCATATCGAGGAATGGACATTCCCCAGTCTGCTCCTGCTTTCCATCCTGACACTGTGTGCACTGAGCCCGGGCTCCCTAGAGGAGAAGGGGACCCGAAAACCATGGCAGGGGGGTTCAGGAGGGAGGGGGCAGCATGATAGTGGCTAGTACAAGTGATCTGGGTGGCTTTACAGCTGCCCAAAACACTTGTTGCTGTAGCAACCAGCCCTGCCTGATGTCATTGGTTGCTAGGATGCCAGTGTGCCACCACACTTTATTTATGGCATGCAGAGGTTTCCTGGGAGCTCTGATGTGAGTGGAAATCCATCATATACTCAAAACAAAAAGCTACATTTACATATCTCCCAACTTTCTGAGGTAAGAAAGAGGGACACCTCCCAGCACAATGTCATTGGGACCATTGAGAATTTGTATGCCAAAAATAATTAGTTAAACCCAGAATTGTTTTTTTTTCCCCGCCATTCCATTATCTTTATATTGGCTTTTCATAACAGGATATTTCAGAGATAAGAGGTTTTAGTACAGAATAACACTTTTGGAAGTTCATTAGAACCTATGTAATAGACATCTGAACATCAGACCAAAAAGAGGGATGACTGAGGAGGAAAAAAAAAACACAGACAGATTTAGTTCCACATAAGGAACATTTGGAAGGTATGCATAGATTTTGATAATATGAAATGAATAAAATAATTTTTATTCACTTTTTAACTTTTAAATTCTTTGTACAATGCACAGTGTATCATATTTTTATCTACAGACAAGGAAAAAAAATGAGTTAACATAAAACATTCAACAATGAAATAAGAAAAAATTGTTACTGTCATCATATCAAGACATGAATGTATTAAGATTTATTAACAGTAATGTCCATGATGTCAATACCACCGGAGATGACTATGGTTACTTAAAGGAGAACTATGAGGTGAGTGACTTTCACTCACCTCATAGTTAGAGCCGACCTGTGACAATGAGACTGTGACAGGTCGGCTCTATTGATCGGGATGTGAGCAGAAACATGCCGCCGTCAGCTCACTTCTCGATCGTCTCCCTGCAGTGAACGGTGACTGTCAGTCACTGCTCCCCACAGGGATTACCCCCCCCTCTCCGATCCTCGCTGACTGGAGGAACGGATGGGGGAGGGGGTGGATCTCGACAGTATTGTCAGGATCCGTCTCTAGCTGTGGCGATCTCAGTATATAGCTTGCTATATACTGAGCTTTAGGTCACGGGAGGATGTTGGAATATGTCCTCCTGTGACCCTTAGGAAACATATGGAATAAAAAGGTTACCCCATAGTTCTCTTTTAAAGTGTATCCAAACCCAAAAGCAAAATGTAATGCATTGCAGCCTACCAATCCTTAGATGTGGTGGCTGCACTACTCTTCTCTTTTATACAGTATGTCTTTTTCCTTTATTTTCACATGGTGATCCAGCCAGTAAGTCTGTTTTTTTTCAACTTCATTTAACAGACCAAACTGTCCAGCAAAAGTGGCAGGTACAGGGTTACTTATTTATTTATAAATTGTATTTAAATAGCGCTGACAATTTATGCAGCACTTTACATACTGCACATTGACATCAGTCCCTGCCCTCGAGGAGCTTACAGTCAAAGGTCCGTATCTCATGTGCATTCTGCTTAGCACCTTGTATAAGAATATTGATTACTTTTTTTAATATGGTTCATCTACCTTGGGAAATGGTCCGTGGCATGACCAAACCCTTGCCGCTTATATAAATCTAAAAGTCTTCACGGGAATTGTTCAAAATTTGAGCCGTTTATGGCCAGTTTTAGACATAGCAACAGTCAGCTTAGCAGGTGGGTATTCTTGCAAGATTTTGGCATCTATGGCCCTGCAGCCTTTGGTTATGTGTTATGCCTATCCCAGAAGGCTTTGGCTAGAGAAGGTCTATGCTTCTCTTGCCTAGGCGAAGAATTAAGTCCTTATAGTAAACAGTAGAGACAAGGATCACCAGCACTCAGCAATATCTTTCAATATGTCCATTTAATTGGACAGAGCGTCATAATAATACATTTGTTATTGTGACGCTCTGTCCAATGAAATGGACATATTGAAAGATATTGCTGAGTGCTGGTGATCCTTGTCTCTACTTTGTATCTGCACGGTCGCCATCCGTGGTCATCACTGCGAGCACCATTTTTTGCATAGGCCGGAAATGCTGTGAGGTGTGTGGAGGGTTCCTCTATCTATCTACACTTATAGTAAACAGGTATTTACAAAACATACTGTACAAAAAAAAATTTGTAAGCAATTTTGGAAGGTGGTGGAGGTAAAGAGGAAATTGGTTCAGATTAAGGTGAGCAGCCCGCTTTACGTATCTAGAATATGAATCATGATGTGAGTCAATATTAAGATCTCTGCTGAAGTATACGGTTTAGGTCATTAAGATGTTTCTGTGTAATACAGCTCTAATATAGTTCTCTTGGAATCTTCAAAAAGGTTCAGACGATTAGGCATCAGCTGATATTTTCCAGGCACGCTGGTCGCCGGCCTTCCAAGATTTGTCCGGCTATGCCACAGTATGGCAACAGGCAGCAGCAAAGCCAATAAATAGAACAACAATCATCTTTTCCACAAATCAGTGCTGGTAACACTCATTAATATTCACAACATTGTCTTCTACTGAAAAAAATGGACATTTCACACCATTTTTTATGCAGATAATGCTATCTGTCCTGTCGTGCAGATGAAGAAACACACCATTGTGATATCAAATTATCATTTCAGCTGCGGGGTATAGCACAGATTTCATGAAATAAAGGAGCATTTGTAGACCCCAGTGCAGGAGTGAGGTCCACAACAGTCCCGGGGGGAGCCTGGAAGGTGAAGTTTTGCAGCAATGTAGTAAAGAAGAGGAAAAGCTCCATTTTGGCCAAACTTTCCCCAGCACAACTTCTCTTACCTAAGGCAAAACAAACACATAAAAATGTATATAAATGATTTCTAATCAATGAGCCAAGCTTTAGAATTTAGATGCATGCTTCATGATGGGCATGCATATCAAAAATACAAATATGAGCAGCTAGAGTTACATGAAAATCTTGCCTTTTAATGTAAAATTTGAGCTTGCACCATGCCGTCCCACCCCTAGGGTTTTCCTATAGGTCCTTTACTGTGATGGCCACACTCCCTGACCAAAAGGAAGGCTCAGAAAAGGGAGCGTGACCAAGCTCAACTGGCACAGTGCAGGTAATCTCCGTTCATGTATTTTTTCATTGTATTCTCAATTTCAATTGTCCAGGTTGCTAACAGGTTCACTTTTAGATATACTGTAAACATTTACCAGTCAATGGAACTCCAGTCCAAATGATAGAATCAATTTATACCCTAGAAAGGCAACTCCAGTGTCTGTGCTATCATAGGCAACTGCTCTATACTAGAGCACTTCTAAAAGGATGGCCAACTAAGCCAAGTTCTCAGAAATAAGCCATGAGCTGAATGGTCATGCTTATTCACCCAGGTACTCCACAAGGTGCTAGCGTGTGCAGGTTTCAGGACTGTCACCCTTATTCCAATGCCTAGTAAGTATCTGATTTTAAACAAGTCTACATCTAGCAGTATTAAATAATTCTGAACTTCTGCCACTTGCTCCACTGACTCACTAGGTAAAGAGGTCAGGATCTATATCACCTCCAGAGACTGCACATTTTTTTAAAACAAGTTAGGAATAGGGATGTTTAGATACCAAGTACCGTACTCGGCACAAGTACAAGTACAGATATTTTTCCAGCTTCAGGACTAGACTAGAGAAAAATGTAAAAGTTAGGAGGCAGCTGTCATTTGTAAGGAGCACGCGGAGCTCCTGGGATTTGTATATCTCTGTTTTAATGCATTATTGTTTTCAATAAATATAAATAAGTGATGCACAGATACCATTTTTGCAAGTGTAATTACTGATACTTGTCAGAGTACTCACAGATACAAGTACGGATACATTTTTGTTTATTGTCATGTGCACGTTTTTCTAAAACAATAGAGACTAATGATTTCAGGACAGTGGTGGAGGACCAGAGCCCGGTCCTAGCTGCAACCCTGGTAGTTCTCGTGAAAATGGCAAGTATCGGCACTGGTAGCTGGACTGGTATCTGGACATCCCTAGTTAGGAATAACAAATCCCATATTTTGGCCCTACAGCTCCAATCTGTGGTTCTGTCTGGAAATCTCTGTTGTAAATTACCTGCTGAGAAGGGTAGAAATGCATCGTTCTTCTTGAAATTCCCATCAGCATCAAGAAAATGTTCTGGGTAAAACTCATCAGGTTTGGCAAAGTAAGTTTCATCTTTCAAAATGGAGGACAGCACTGGGAGAATACTGGTTCCCTAGAGGAAAGTATTTACAAGCACTTTAATTAGGAGGAAAAAAAAAAACAATGAAGTCCATTGAACAAACACATTGATACATGTGTGGCCATTATAAGGCAAACTGGGACCAGTAAAGGGGTGAGATATTTTGTGGCGCCAAAAATGTTATGCCTACCTGCTCCAGCAATGGCAGTCTGGCCATGTCTGTTACTGTTTATAGTTCTTTTTGACGATTAAGACATTTCTGTATTTATTTGCTGTTATAAATATTTTACACTGTGACACTACCCCACAATTTTGCTTTAAAGAGGATATTTCTGTGATATAACTAAGTTTTCTCTTGATTTAACAAAAGTTATGCTCTGAATGTCTACAGAGCTCAAAATACGTTAGTATTACTTCCACAGAGCTGTAATAGAAGCTCCAGGCAATTTTTTATTTATTTTTATAATTGACAATTTTTATTAAAGGAGAACTATGGGGTTAAGGCTTTTCCCCATAGTTCTCCTTAGGGTAACGGGAGGACACAAACTAGCGTCCTCCCATCACCCTAGGCTCAGTATACCGCGAGTTGCAGCTCGCGGTATACTGAGACGCCGCAGCTGAAGCGGATCCCGACAATTGTGCCGGGATCTGCCCAGCTGCGTGACTGACAGCTGGCTCTGCCTATCTAGAGGCAGAGCCAGCTGTACCCGCCCCCTCCCCCATCCGTTCCGCCAGTCAGCGGTGGTGGATCGGAGCGGGGAGGGGGGAATCCAGCCCCTCACCTGTCACGGCAGAGAGCCGTGACAGGATCAAGAGGTGAGCGAACGCCGGTATGTGTTCGTTCACCTCCCGATCTACTGAGCCGACCTGTGACAGTCTCATTGTCACAGGTCGGCTAGAACTATGAGGTGAGTGAAAAGCACTCACCTCATAGTTCTCCTTTAAAGTTCCATACATAAGATACAAAACATAAGACATCCGTTTTAGCATCAAAATTGATTGACAGTCTGCCGAAGAGCATACAAGATTTCACATTTTGTTGGTGGGTTGCTTCAGTATAAAGTGGGGTTTTCCCCTAATACATTATGACCTTCCTATATCATTAGGCTAAGCCTTTACACATTGTACAGTTCGCTATCTGAACCGGCATTTCACCATTTATGGAGCTCTATGTCCAACGGATATCCGTCAATCTGGATAGGTCTTAACTTTATTTAGTAGAAATAAAAAAGTAGTAAGAATAAAGTGATGAAAAAAGAAGAGAAAATAAGTTGTAAGAGATCCTCTTCCAGAGTAGCTATCCTTATTAACGAAATGTACCAGGACTTTCCTGAGGTTACTGCTATCTGCACCGTTCACCCCATGATTGGTCACCGTCCAAACCCCGCTTCCTGTCGACACCCGCTCCTCCTCTCATTTAGTGTTCTCCTCGTGGGCATGCCACGCTCTCCACACCTTTTCATGAGCGTCAATAGTGTTATTCAGCTGTGCCGTTAAATATTCCATCACCTGAACATTTTTGATTCTGGCAAATAATTCAAGTCTAGACGAGGGGAGTTTCCGTTTTCACAGTAGTGGAATAAGACAGCGGGCTGCTGTAAGGACATGCATTACCAATTTTCCACTAGCCCTTGAAAGGCAGGGAAACGGCAAACCCAGCAAATAATGTATGGGATGATAGGAAAGAGTTTGTCCAACTAGCTGTTCTAATGTATGTTTGACCATTCCCCAGTAGGGCTGTATATCTAGGCAGGCCCAGAATATGTGGAACAGGGTGCCTCTAGCACAGTCACATCTCCAGCAGTTTGGAGATAACTTTGGATTGAGTGAGTGGAGAAAGTCCGGTGTGTGGTACCACTGGTACATTATTTTGTACTGATCTTCTCTGTATATAGAGCAAATCGAGGAATTTGCAGCGACTCTCCATATACGTTCCCATTGCTGGGGGGAGATCTGGGTTTGCAGAGCACCATCCCATTTCCGCATGTAGGGTAAGTTAACCACGCCCTCCACGGAATCGTCGTTCAATATGTTATAGAAAAAGGATATCATGCCCCTGGAGGAATGAGGTGCCAAACATTGAGTTTTGAAGGGTGTTCGGGAGGGGAACGTCAAATTATTTGTGATTGATTGAGCAAAATGTTTGATCTGGAGATAAGAAAAAAGAGCTCAGGTAGAAAGGTTATGCCTCTCTTTCAGTAGTTCAAATGGTAACAGCTTATTAGTGAACCTGTCCAGTAGGTCTCTAAGATGAAACATGCCTCTAGTTTGCAACATCCCCACCCACTCCCTAGATACACCTGGCTGTACCCTAGGATTCAGCAAAAAGGTAGTAAAAGGGGATCGAGCTGTCTTCAGACCTCTGGAGATCTTAACTTTATTCCATATATCTAGCGTAAGACTCATTGAGGAGAACAGGTTGCCTCTGGGTATTTGCACTGGTTTGGACCACAGCAATGCGTTAGGGTGAATCGATGATAACCAAAGACCTTCTATTTGCGCCCAGCTAGTAGGGGGATCAAACTTTAAAAGGGCCGGCAGCACTCTCAGTTGGGCCACATAATAGTAGTTGGAGAGATTTGGCAGAGCCTGACCCCCTCCCCCCTAGTGGTCGAAGCACAAAGTATCTTTTGTGTCCAGTCTATTTTTTATGCCCCCCCCTCCCTCCCTCCCACAAGCGCAAAGCAGTTCAAGCTGCATTATTCAACTTCAATCTGGAGCTGCTCCAAAAGTACTATGTTTTCTCCATAAGATGTCCTCAGTCTTCCTTGTTGTATGACACCCAGAATTGAGTAGTCTGGAAGACTGAGGACAACCTGTGTGTGCAGGATGTCACGGCCCCATCCCCTAAGGTGGCATGACCATGCCATTCTGTATTCACAGTGCAGTGGTGCAGAGAGAGGTCCTGACATCTTTTCAGTGTTGTTCTCTGCATCACAGGTAAAGACCAAAGAGGTAGATTCTATATGACAAGTGGCCACAGTTAATATGGATTTCCTATAGCACAGGAAAACAATAATAACAATTCATGTGCAACATGATTTATTAGTTTCACCGGTACAGGACTCACCATCTAGGACCATGTCCAAGACATCCCTAGTCTATCAGGTGACATGGTTCAATGGCCTGCACACTCTCGGTCAGTAGCTATGGCTTACATAGGAGCCCTGACTAAATGCAGTCAGGGCTCATGGCCAACCATTAAACCTTGGGTAGGGTGTATGGTGTATGTCTTCTCCTTCTAGGCCCGCTGCTGAGGGAGGGAAACTATGTGCTGATAAGGCCAGAGTTTGAGCCTAAGCTCGCATTGCCCTGCTGGATGTGTTGTTTTACTTGGGTACAGTATACTAAGGAGGATTCTTGGATTGAGGTGCCTGGAAAGCTGAAGTATAGTTAGGCTTTCATCTGACGTGCGGTGTTTGCTTGAGGGATTTACTGCTACTTTAACTGCTCTACAGCCAGGAGCTTATGTTCCTAGTATGCCAGGCTGGTTTTATGGTCCTTTACCCGAGATGGCATAGATTATGTGTATCCCTTTATTTAGTCAACTGAGTTTGCTGTGATCTCAGGGGTGTCCTGTGCCGTAACCCCATCTCTCGAAGCTGCTAAATACATTTCCTGCAAAAAAAAAGCTAGAATGTGGGAAAGTCAGTTAATTGGTTACCAATGGTGGCTCAGTAAGTGCTTTGAGGCAGCTAAAGAACTGTGTACCCTAGACAGGCTAGAAGGGGCCCAATACAATCGGTGGCTCCTTTTAGGGGTAAGCACAACATACACGCACACACACTTTTTATTCGCATTTCTCACCTTCGGAATTAAATATCCTCTGAATGTGACATCACAAGACGTGGCATGTGGGATGTTACTGGGGGCAATATCCCCAAAACGCTGAACTTCACACACAACAGCATCTGTATAAGGCATTTGCTTCCTGTGCTCTAGCTTAGGTTGAGCCATGCCTATAACTTTTTCAATTTCGTTTTGCACTTTTTCTGTTGGATATTCAAAAATAAATCATTAGCATTGGCTTATATACTGACAGCAGTTTACAATATAAGGACATACATCAGCACTAATAATAACATCATGACATACATAATACATAAACAGCAAAATAAACAAAACAAAATAAGAGGGACCTTTCACATTTATGTGTAAATGTATGCAACAAAAACCTCAGTTTTTAACGCAAATTGCTGAAACAGTGCAGAATTGGATGCTGACCAGATATTCACCCGCTCCCAGGGGAATGAGTGCAGGGGAACATTGTACCCCTTTACCATCCCCACAAAGAATTAAATGTAAAAAAAATAATAATAATAAAAGCACAAACACATAGGGTTATTCACGTAGGAGCCCAAGCATCCAGGCGTAGCTTTGGCTGATCCTTCGGCTCTCTTCAGCCGCCTCTGCCCTTCGGTTCAGTCGAACCGCAGGGCTGCTGTACGGGCTATTCACTATAGCTCGTACAGCAGCCGAAGGCGGACGAGCGGCTCAACGGAGCTGAAGGCATAAGCTTCGGCCGAACAGCCGAAGCGCGGCGAACGGCCTGCCGAAGGTCGGCCGTAAGCCCTGCAAAAGACAGCTGGGCGGAGCCAGCTGTGATTTCAAGGCTAGCTCAGCCCAGTTGTAATGACAGAACAGCGGCGCCAAATAACCTGGCGATGCTGATCTATCATTAAACAATAACAACTGGGCGGAGCTGTCCGTGACAGTTGTTATTCATTGGCCAAGACCTGCTAACAGTTGGGCAGGGCTAGCTGTCACTGCTAGCTCTGCCCAATTTTTTTTTAAAATATCTTTATTTATATTTTAATTTCACTATTTATTAACATTTTAGAATTTTTTTTTAACCTTTTTTTTTTTACTATTTTCACTATTTTCTATTCTGCTCGGTACCAAGGAGGTGCCGAGCAGAATAGCCAAGGGGCATTCGGCTATTCACTCACTGCCGTTTGGCCCCTATGTGAATAGAGGCGAATGGCAGCGAGCGAGCTGCCGGAGCTTCGGCTCAGCCGATCCAGAGCATGTTCAGCTGACTGAAGTGCAATTGAAGGCAGCCAATGTACGGCTGAAATCAGCCGTACTGTCTGAGCCGGAGTGAATAGACAAACTTAGTTCGACTCACTTCACTTCGGCTGGGTTATTCACTCCCCCATACCCCCATGCCCCATACTTATCAGCTTTTAAAATAAAGTTTACTGATATTCCTAGAAGTCAATCCAGCATCAATCATGGTGTCCAAATTAGGTTATCCACTTCAATCCTGATGACCTGCCACATGCTGATCTGTACACGCTTCCTTACTACAACTTCTGGCTTCTATGGAGTAGGGCTTATGGAGCCAGGAGACAATATCTTCCTTACCTCTACCTTCTAAAATAAGGAAGAAACCCATTATTTTCAGGAGCTGTGATGGAATGAGCAATGCTGATACTTTCTGTTTTGAGAAGATACTATTGTACTTTGTACTGGTTTGGGGGGTGGTTGTTGGTTTGTTTGGCCCACCTTACCAAAACTGTCTGGCAATTCTTTCTAAAATATATGAAAAATATACACATGCTCTTGCTGAAAATTGACCTTCCATGAAGTTGGTATACAGGTGAAACTCGAATAATTAGAATATCGTGCAAAGTTAATTTATTTCACTAATGCAACTTAAAAGGTGAAACTAATATATGAGATAGACTCATTACATGCAAAGCGAGATAATTCAAGCCGTGATTTGTCTTAATTGTGATGATTATGGCTTACAGCTCATGAAAACCCCAAGAACCCCAAATCCACAACCTCAAAAAAGTAGATTATTACATGCAATCAATAAAACAAGGATTGTACATAGAACAATATCGGACCTCTGAAAAGTACAAGCATGCATATATACTCAGTACTTGGTTTGGGCCCCTTTTGCAGCACTTACTGCAATTACTTTTGCACGATATTCTAATTATTCGAGTTTCACCTGTATATGTAGAGTGCTTGTGGTTTTTACATAAGTCAGTAAGATCTTATTTACTTTGAATGCTATAAATGTAAAGTAAGCATGAACAGAGCAAAGAATTAGCAGAAGGTAGGCTGACTTAGAATTTTAACATATGCATTTCACTTACTTTGGATTTCTGGATATTTAATCATGATCAGGAGGCTCCATCTCAGAGTGGTGGATGTAGTTTCCATCCCAGCACCAAAAAGCTGCGCTACCAGTGCAGTTAAGTTTTCATCATGGTAATACAGAGTAGATTCTGGCTTTCCCTGAAACAAATGGATTCAATTAAGGCAGAAGTCAGCATTGCAGTCTGCCAGAGCACATTGAAAACCAGACAAACAAAATCGCTAGATTTAAAATATGTATTAAGAACAGTGTCCATAGGAGCAAGCAGAATCATAAACCAGAACAAGCCAAAGTCAGGAGCCGGAGTGGGTATTCGTCCAAGCCAGGTCAGGAACACGGAGATCAGCATCGCCGTGAACAAGCCAGGAGCAGGAGCCAGGAAGTCAGCGTTGTCAGGAACAAGCCAGGAGCCAGAGGAGAACGTCAGCCAGGATCGGGTCATACACAGAATCAGGATACTCAGAGCAGTAGGAAAGCACTAGCAGGAAGACCACACAAGGGCAAGGTCAGACTGGACTGAGTGGTATATATATATATAAGAACCACCATAACCAAAGGACACAGCCTTGCAATCATCGTTGTCAGGAAAAAGCCAGGAGCAGGAGCCAGAGAAGAATGTCAGCCAGGATCGGGTCATACACAGAATCAGGATACTCAGCAGCAGGAATGTACTAGCAGGAAGACCATACAAGGGCAAGGTCAGACTGGACTGAGTGGTTTATATATATATATATAGTGAGTGGGGTGACATCACTCAGAGACAGGAAAATCCCATCTGTCTCTCTCAGATGATTCTCTCCTGTCTGGCCATAAGAGAGAACCTGGGAGTAGTGAGCAACGTTCTAGAGTCTGCCCAGGCAAAATAAGGAAACACAGGTGGGTAAAATGGCAGCCAAGCCAGAATGCTGCAAACCAGTAAAGTCAGGGTGGGGAACCCTGACGCAGTCATTGACCTTTCTTGGCAGTATCAATTCTGATTGGAAATTAATGGGTAATGGGGCCTATCAACTTTCCCACAAGCAAGCATCAGTCAGGGTCACAGAGGTGCTTACAAACATATGAATATAGTATACAGAAGGAATGACCATCCTATTAAACCATGTTGCAGAAACATAGCCATAGGCCTATGAGTTTGTGTTATAGTGCAAAATGCGTCAAACCGGTTTGGTTGATGTTATAAGTTTCATTCTACAAAACCTCCCAGCTCTCTTCCTTATATTGTGGACTCCATCGTAGCCTGCTCCCCAAAGCTATAGAGTCGAAGGAAAGAGAGGAGAGTGGTTGCTTGCTAAAGACTATAGAAGCAGCATTTTTTCCAATTACAACATTGTTCCTATTATAACGTACAGTATGACCACTCTCTGATCTGACTGTAAATGTCTATAGGCAGGGTCAACATTTCCTCATGTCTGTAGGCTCTTTTCCTTGTATTGTTTTATTCAACCGCTCATTTCATATCAAAAAATGTCATCCTACCTCTTGCTGTTTTGCCAGGAAAGCATCAATAATATTTCTCTGATTATTTACATCCAGGTCGCGCCTCTGCTTGGTAAATGTTTCTCTCATAAAATTGTGCATTTGTTCCGTGTTTGCAGCAATTGTGTTGTGGACTCCTGGCAGAGGATCTATCAACTTAGGGAACATGTTGTACAGCTGAAAAAAAGAGAAAAGTTCACGTCTAAGTAAAAGGAAAGGATATCTTATACGTAGCAAACTTGAAGCAAAGGAAAAAAAAACTTTCTGGGGGCTGAAATGACTTCTGTGCTGTACAATCTCAGAACAATCTGAGAGATTAGGTTACAGAGGCTACATGGTTAAAGCGGACCTTTACGCTCAAATGAAATTCTACCAATGCATCCCTCCAGGGGCGGACCTACCGCTGGTGCAGCTGGTGCGGCAGCACCAGGGCCTCAGCCTACAGGGGGGCCCAGTATCCATTCCAACAGACTCCCGGCGGATGATCCGACACTCCCGGCGCAGAGATGAGGGGGCGCACCAGCAGCCGGATACTGTGGAGGGAGCCGAGAATAAAAAAAAGCCGGCAGGTACTTCAGGTGGCAGCCCTGGGCCTCGGCCGTGTTGACCCAGCAAGCAGCCGCTGAACATACGGGAGCGCTGTCATAGATGGACACACACTGGGGTGTTTTTCTGCGGTTTCCCCCACCAGATAACAGCCAGAAGAGGTGAAGGTAAGTTATTAAATAAATTATTTTTTGTAGCCTAACTGATGGCATTGCTGTATAAAGTACAGCTGGTATTCATAGTTCTATATAGCAGGTCCCATTCTGAATTGCAGCAATGCAGAATGGCACCCTCTATAGAGGACTACAAATCTCAGCAGTACTTTATATAGCAATGCCATTCTTCCAACTTTTTTGTGTGTGGCTACTACAGGGGATGTGGTTTTGGGGGTTTGCGTTTTTTTTTAGGGTGGGAGTGGGCTTGAAAACAAATCTTGCACCAGGGCCCCTTGTTCCCTAGGTCCGCCACTGCATCCCTCTATGTATGATGATTAATAATAACATAGACATGTCAGTTGTAAAATCATGTGATTGTGAAATACTGACACTTGCAGAGCATTCACTTCCTGCTTTGAAAGGGAAAAATTGATTCAGTTTGGCAAAGCAATGCACACTGAGATTGCCTTGTCATCAGCAGAGAATTGCTGGGAAATCACATCTATAATCTCACGAGATCTCAGGGAATGCTTTTTCCTCCCCTGAGGGGATGTGCATGGTCACATGTCCTAGTTACATGTCTAGTCACATGTGCCAGAAATAAGGAAGTAATAGGAGAGCTAGTAATCTGCCCTTAGTAAACATGGCCACTGTGAGAAGACTGGGGAAGAAAAGAGAACTAAGGTGTGCAAGGAATACAAAGCTGGCAATTATCTAGAAGTATCTGTTTGTAGATTGTCATCACTAAACTAAACATTTCTAAAGGTGTGCTTGTTGTTATTTTAAAGATATGGGTAAAGCTTCACTTTAAGAGGAGGAATACTCACGTCTTTGTTCCTCTGTCTCACCTAGATAGTTTACATAGGGTGGTTATAGACATGTAAGTAGCACTGCAGTTTTTTTTTAACTAGAAAGCCAAGAATGCTTTGCAAACTGAGTACCATGGCACCAGAGTTATGATGACACCTCACTATATCTCTGTGAAGGATCTAATGTATTCAGGTCATGGTAATGCTAGTAGTAGTAGTTAGTCACATTCAACTTGGGCCTTTTACAAACTATCCATTCACATCAGTCACTTCCCTCAATGAGCTTACAATCTAAGATTCCTCCCCAGCCCCCATTCAAACATGATTGTTCCAGTTTGATGTAGATGGCCTCTTTCACACCTCTTGCAAACCAGTTATGCTATCTGTCCATAAAGTACACCTCACTGTCCTTGTAAGAATGTCCCTTTGACCTGTAGAATTTGTCCTCCTTTGTTGGGCCATTCATTTGCTGACGTTGTTTAGCCTCCCAAATGTGCAGGCCTTTGTATTCCTCACACACTGCACTGCATATACCAAGTTACTTTGCTTGTGCTTGGGTGTTGAGTCTTTTAGATGTACAAACTTCTGTCTCAGTGTATTTCCTGGCTTGGAAAGACACAGGGATGCAATGTTTGTTAATTGATCCAACAGAGTTTTTCCAACATACCAGCTACATACAGAATGACTATATTAATCCACGTGGTCTGCTTCTTTCCCTTGTTTTATTGACCTTGGGTAGCCACAAACTTTTAAAGCACTCCTGGGATGGTTGGGTCCTTGGTCTTTGGACTTGGTGTTTGTTGTTACCATCTTAGCCTACTTTTGCAGAGTCCTAATTACTCCCAATTTCTATTCCAGTGGGTGTTGTTATGGGTGACGTTTTCCTTCACCTTAAGAAAGGACAGTGGGATGCCCATTTACGAAAGAGAGGACAGCTGGTTTGTAAGAGGCCATCTAAGTAAAATATAAACAATCATCCTTAAACAGGGCTGGGGGCCTACAACATCATCTCTCTCCTATTTATGTAATTTTAGCGTCTCTAATCTGGTGTTTTGACAGCGATTCACACCTCCAGCCATTTAAATGGAAGGTTTAACACTTATGCAGTCCTACTGACAACAAAGATGGTATTATGCAGTTGGAACTTCCACACCCCCATCCTCTACTTAGACCAGGTGTGCCCATTAGGTCGATCGCGACCCACCAGTCGATTGCAAAGTGAACACTGGTAGATCATGATTGGCTCACTGTCCTGAGCTCCCTCCCACAGTGCTAGTGCCACTGAATGTGCCAGACGCTGCAGAGGGGAAGGTGCGGGACACCTCTCCCCGTCTGCAGCGCTGGCAACACTATTACCAGTACAGTGCAGGACACCCCTCCCAGTCTGTAGCGTCGGCCACATTCGGCCACACTTGCACCGCAGGAGGACAGGATAGCATACAATCGAGGAGTGAACAGGAAAAATGAAGAGGGCAGGAGCGCAACAGTCTGATGCCAGGTGTGTGGATGGGGAGTGATGAGTGAATGAGGATGTGTATCTGTGGGGTGGTGAAAGGGGATGTTGAGCACTTACCTGTGATGGGTACAATCGACGAGACCTGGGAAGCTGCTGCAGTGCAGGCAAGGAAAGAGCCAGGAGAGAGAAGAGACAGGAGAGAGAGAGAGAGAGACGGAGAGAGAGAAGAGACAGCAGAGAGAGATAAAATAGACAGCAGAGAGAGAGAAAAGAGACAGGAGTAAGAGAGGAGACCGCAGAGAGAGAGAGAGAGACAGCAGAGAGAGAGAGACAGCAGAGAGAGAGATACAGGCAGGGCCGGATTTCCCGCTTGTTTTATACAAGTGATCTTGGCGACATTGTATGCAGAGAGTTAACACCACAGGCGCCAGCACGAATACCTGTGTGGGAAAGGTAAACTGATGCACTCTGAAGGCAGCTCACGCTGGTCTGGGGTGACCACAATAACTGAAATGAAAAGCAAAAAGCTTGTTTAATATACGATCCTCTGATTTTTATTTATGTCCGTCGCATCCATTATCTTGAGGAACTGAGAAGGAGGTTTTGCCGAAGAACTCATTCGTTCTTCAGACACTAGTAAGATGATTTTGCGTGTGATTAATCTAATTTAATTTTATTTATCTCTTACTAATTCTGGGCTTGCTCAATATTATACTGGAGACAAAAAAAAAGGTTAAAAACGAAGGTGAGCCAGTAATACGAGATTGACGAGCGGTAATCGGCATTAGGACTCCAGGTGATTAGATTCAGAGGGTGTTCTGTGATTGGTTACCATTGCATTCTTATGAGTGAGTAACAAAAGTTTCAGCCATTGGTTCTGAGGAAGGAGGCGTGTCCTCTGAAACGCGTCAACCAAGAAGTGTTTGCAGCTGTGCCGGAATTCCATAATTTCAGTGTCTGTGTTTGGCAATACATACTATATGCCTGTTTACGCCAATTCTTTTGTGAGTATGTTTTCAACTAGACATGTGCGATTCGGTTCGTTCTGAAATTCGTTTCGGACGAATTTTCGGAAATTCGGAGATTCGGATGCATCCGAATTCCGAATTACAGCTAAGACGAATGCAAACGAATCCGAAATTCCCGATTTCCCGAAATTCGTTATTGGACGTATTTCATTGCAGCAGAATGACATTAGGGGAAAGAAAGTTACAACCATAGAGTAGTGGTTAGAGGACAGGCTTGCCATTGCTAAGGTCCCAGGTTCAAATCCAGGTCAAGTTGAGTAATGTTTAAAGTTTTTGTTTTTTTTCCCTTGCTTTTGAATTGGCATTCACCTAACATTCCTACCAGACCTAAAGGGTCTGGTATGAATTGGGGGGAACCTCAGGCTTTTTTTTTCATCTCCTGCAGACTGTATAAAAAAAAAGAAGTCATTTTTGTTCCCCCTAATCAATTTCGTTTGATGCAACAAAATTCGTTATTGGACAAATTCTGTTGCAGCAAAATGATTTTTTTTTTTTACAGTCTGCAGAAGATGAAAAAAAAAAGCGTGAGGTTTCCCCCCAATTCATACTAGACCCTTTAGGTCTGGTAGGAATGTTAGGAGGGACCCCCCCTCCTTATAACACAAAAAAAAGTGCGTGGGGTTCCCCCCCAAAATCCATACCAGACCCTTAAGGTCTGGTAAGAATTTTAAAGGGGGACCCCAGCCCCAAAAAATGGGGGGGAAAACGTGGGGTCCCCCCTAAGAGTCCTACCAGACCCTTGATCCGAGCACAAGCCCGGCAGGGCAGGAAAGGGAGCTTAGACGATCAACATCCATAGTCATTAGAACTTAGGTGTCTGTGTTACAGGTGTGAATATAAATGCTGGGATATGTTCCTAACACTCGTCAGAACTGAAGAAGTAGCTTGGATTAGCTACGAAACGTCTTCACAATTACAGAACAAGTCCAGTTGAATGTGACCAACTACTACTAGAGTATCCATATCCATAATGGCAACATTCTAATCCAGGACACCTAATGCTAAGATATCCTCCTGTCTAATTTACTCCAATGTATTCTGTTTCCATCCTCATCATATACTACTTGCAACTAGTGACCTTGCCTGGACACAAATATGTGAATAGGAAAATAGCTTACCCTGGCCATAGGTGTCCCCATTAGTCTTATGTTTTCAGTAACAAGGTTCATGAGTCTTATCAAGGTGGGATCATCGTATTGGAACCTGTCATTCAGCAGCATGGAAACTATTATATTTGCCACGGCAGCATTAAGGATGAGCCGATTGTCAAATGGCTTCCCTTAAAATGAAAGGAGAAAACCAAATTAAACAACATTCACTTTCATAAAAAGTTTATGCAGATAAAATGTAGCATGAGGCAAAGATATTGAGCTGGAAGTTACCTACAGATGTAGGTATGGATGAAATCCCTGTGCCTACTGCTTGGGAGGGAGGGAGTGAGTATCACAGAGGAGAGCAAAAAACCGTATGGGCACAAGCCACAAGGAAACAGGAAATGCTTTTCTCTTTTTATATTTTTAAGGATTCAATAGAAAGAACAAAAAGAGAACCATACAATTCAGTATTGTGCAGTGAGGTCGGTGCTAGGTGAGGCATTTCCCCCTGCCCACCCCCAGCCCCGCCCACAGCACGGTCATCGAGCTGTGTGGAGGAGACAGGGAGGAGCCTCCCTGTCCCTCACTTGCTCGTCACTTGTGAGGCATTGAGATAGATGTCCTCAGTGTTTTGTTTTGTTTTTATTGGAAAGCTTGAACCAATGGCACTTTGCCATTGGTCCAAACCTTCCACAGAGCTCAAGCCGCTAACACCAAGTAGAGGCGGCTGCAGCTCTTGCTTCACTATGTTAGGTTACACAAGCACTGGGGAAGGCCGCTCCTGTGTAATGTAACATAGTTCCGAAAAGCTGGATGCATCGCTGCCTGTAGTCAGGGCTTTTCCCCATAGTTCTCCTTAGGGTAACGGGAGGACACAAACTAGCGTGCTCCTGTCACCCAAAGCTCAGTATACCGCAAGCTGTAGCTCGCGGTATACTGAGCTTAGGGGTGACGGGAGGATGCTAGTTTGTGTCCTCCCGTACTCCTATACTGAGACGCCGCAGCCGGAGCGTATCCCGACATCGATGTCGAGATCCATCCAGCTGCGTGAGTGACATAAAAACTTCCATAAAAAACATCCCTGATACAATTCAAGGGATAACTAATAAAATAGACAATTTAAATAAAATGAAGTCAAAACAATTAGAGTTCTGTATAAAAAATATAAATAACTGCTGAAATGAGAGGGACACAAGACTAATATCTTACCTCCATAGGATCTAAATGTTTGCACTAAGTGTTCGGCTTCCTCATTAATCTTGTCTTCTATACCTTTCTTCCCCATTCCGTAATCCCGTAGAGTGGATAGAGTGAATCTTCTCATTGCCTTCCAGCTTTCGCCATTGGAAAAGACGATACCTGATAGAATTAATACATATCAGGACAATTTGTCTGTTTACATAATGTTAAACCATTTCATTAATTACAGTAATACCTTGGTTTACGAGCATTATTCGTTCCGGAAGCATGCTTGCATTCCAAAGCGCTTGTATATCAAAGCAAATTTCCCCATAGGAAATAATGGAAATTCAGATGATTCGTTCCACAACCCAAAAATATTCATATAAAAATAATTACAATACTGTGGTGTAATATAATACAAAATATAAAAGAAAAATAAACGAATTACCGGTACCTTCGTGGCTGGTGTGAGGGAGATGAGAGAGGAGGATTATTGTGTTGGACGACTTTCACTATCACTAACGGAATCACTGCTATCTCTTGACTCGATGGAATCTTTTTCATTTCGTGAAACCTTAACAAGGAATCTATCCAATGTGACATTGCATTGTCGTTAAACAGACTCATCGCTCGCACTGCTGCAGCCTTATTCCGGTGGTGCTTTCTACAAGATTTTGCTCTTATTGCAAGACATTGCTTGAATATAAAGGCAAAACAATTTTCAGAAATGTTTGCTTGTCTTGCAAAACACTCTCAAACCAAATTACTTGTAAACCAAGGTATTACTGTACATGTGTTTATAGAGTGCAGACAAATTACCCAGTGCTTTACATAGTGCAAAATTATGTTAGTCAATGGGCCCCCAGGGGCTTACAATCTAAGATGCCTACCTCACATGCATGCATACAGGGCCAATTTAGACAGGAGCCAATTAACCTTTCAGCATGTCTTTGTGTCAGAGCACAGTGAAAACCAGACAAGCAAAGGGTGCTAGTTAAAACATTTATTAAGAACAGCGTCCACAGGAGCAAGCAGAATCATAACCCGGAACAAGCCAAAGTCAGGAGCCGAAATGGGTAGTTGTGCAAGCCAGGTCAGGAACACGGAGATCAGCATCGCCAGGAACAAGCCAGGAGCAGGAGCCAGAGAAGAACGTCGGCCAGGATCGGGTCATACACAGAATCAGGATACTCAGAGCAGCAGGAATGCACCAGTAGGCAAGACCACGCAAGGGCAAGGTCAGACTGGACAAAGTGGTTTATATATAGTGAGTGGGGTGACATCATCACTCAGAGACAGGAAACTCCCATCTGGCACTCTCAGATGATGCTCTCCTGTCTGGCCATAAGAGAGAACCTGGGAGTAGTAAGCAACGTTCCAGAGTCTGCTCAGGCAAAGAAGGAAACACATGTGAGCAAAATGGCAGTCAAGACAGAATTCTGCAAACCAGTAAAGTCAGGGTGGAACTCTGACACTTTGGAGTGTGGGAAGAAACCGGAGCACCTGGAGGAAACCCTCACAACCTCAACGAGAACATGCAAACTCACAGATGGTGCCCTGATTGGGATTTGAACTGGAGACCCCCAGTGTTCTTCAATAGGAGATGGTCTTTATTGTAACTCTCACACTAGGGAGGAGAAAAGTCAATGTTACCTTCCTTGTACAGTTACCTGACATTCCCTCAACTTATTTTTTTTACAACCTTTGCCTGGTTTGAGCTGCCAAATCATTGCATTTTCTATAAACACATTTTCAGCACCATGGAGAGCAATTCACCTCGAGGCTAAAGGTGGCCATACACTTTACAACCATCGCAAGACCTTAGTCTTGCGATGGTTGTAAAGTAATGAAAAAAACGTACAATCTGCCCATCTTGGACAGGCAGATCGTACTCTCGATCATCGCAAGCCCGCCCCCCTGAGGGGGCTTCCGATGACCGCAATGTGAACGGGCAGTGTGCACACACCGGCCCGTTCGGCATTTGTCTCCCGAGCACAATCGTACGATTTTCGGCTGGTTTTCTAGCGTGCTCCTTAGACAAAAGACGTGCGACCGTACAGTAGAAACGGTCGCACGTCTTCGTTCACACTGCTCGATTCTCGTACGATCGCGGGATTTCCCGAGCAGTGTATGGGCACCTTTAGAGGGTTATTCACAAAGGAGCTGATTCAGCCGAACTGAAGGGCTGCTGTACGGGCTATTCATGCTAGCCTGTACAGCAGCCCTTGTCCTCATACCCTCAGGGCACCCTCCCAGTGCTGAGGGCATGTGGTCTGGTATGGTGGGGGGTGGGTGCTCTCGCTCGCCCCCCCTTTCTTGCCCTGCCAGGCCTGTGCTCAGATTAAGATGGATTGGACGGGGGGACCCCAAGCTGTTTTAAAATTTTTCTTTACCTTTGTTCAATTTTTTTTTTATTTTGTTCGCTACCTTGGAGGTATCGAGCAGAATAACCAAGCCGAATGCCGTTTGGCAGCATTCGGCTATTCACTCACTGTCCCGCCCCTATAACAATAGGGGCGAATGGCATGGAGTGAACTGCCGGAGGTTCGGCTCAGTCGATCCAGATGTTGGATCGGCTGAGTCGAACGGCTCCTCCCTCACTTCGGCTCAGCCGAATATGCTGAGCATTTTCGGCTGAACCGAAGCCAGCCGATGTATGGCTTATTTTAGCCAATGTACCGCTGAAATCAGCCGTACAGGGCTGAAGCGTATAGCCGAACGGTGTTCGACTCTTCTCACTTTGGCTCGGTCATTCACTTGGCAGCCTTCGGCAGCTTAGTGAATAACTAAATCTGATTCCTTCCTGATAGTTACTGATTTAGAAAACATTCATTGTACAGCCACTAGGTGGAGCCAAACTATGAGAATTATCCTCAACTCCATCGAATGGCGGTAACACACTAAGGCAGAATTTCTTTTTAAAGGAGCCAAGAGAGACTTACCATGATCCTTTTGGATCTTATAAAACAACGGCGTCTTCGGCCTGTCAGCAAACTCATCTGCCTGGTTGATTAGAGCTTCTTTTACAGCATCATATCCGCAAATGATAACCATCTTTGACATACCCAAATGGATGGTGTACACTGGGCCATACTGCTTGGACAACTGCAAGTACATCAGAGAATAAGAATGTGAGTAAATCAACATAAAATAGTTAAATAATCAGTATTCTGCCAGGGCCACCATTAGGAATCATGGGGCCCCTTACAGCCCCTCCCTATTTACATTCACGTGCATGTGTTAATGTAAATCAGAGAGCAGGCAAGGTTAATTCACCAGGCAGCCAGAGAACTGATAATATAAGCAAAAATCCGGCATTTCCTGATGATTACCGGCAAGTTCCTAGGTATGGCTATACATAATAGAAGTCACCAGCACTCGATGATATGTGCAAGAAGTAAAGCACTTGTTATTCAATCATCACATGCGTCAAACAGCCAACGTTTCGGGGCCACACAGGGTCCCTTCTTCTGGGCGACATAGGTCACTATGTCAGCTGGCTCTGCCTATCTAGAGGCAGAGCCAGCTGTGCCCGCCCCCTCCCCTGTCCGTTCCTCCAGTCAAAGCTGGAGGATTGGAGCAGGGAGGGGGGGAATCTCTGCAGGGAGCCATGACTGACAGCCACGGCTTTCTGCAGGGAGATGGTCAAGAAGTGAGCGAGCGACGGTATGTGTTCACTCACTTCCCTATCTATTGAGCCGACGTGTGACAGTCTCATTGTCACAGGTCGGCTCCGACTATAAAGATGAGTGATTTTCACTCGCCTCATAGTTCTCCTTTAAGCTTCACAAGGTGATCACCTGAATATGAATTTTATGCAGCAAACGCTGAGACCTCAAGCAGAAGTCATAAGTTACCTCTATGAAGGATACATGAGGCTTCTTTAGATCAATTAGATGGATACTTCCAATGAGAGGTAACGGTCTGGGCCCTGGGGGGAGGTTTTTGCCTTTCTGCTGCTTCTGATTGTTGTAAAGATTGACCAAGAAAAGAATGACAACCACGGAGACAAGAATGGTCACAGGGTCCATGGGAATCATGTCTTCAGGATGCCTGGAGCAGGAAATCAAAACAAAGCATTAGATTTTGTACTGCTAAGAAGTAGTAAGTAAGTGCTGGATTAAACACAAGAGATAGACCCCACCCATGATCAACTCAAGCCCCTCCCATAAATGCCACATGTCCAAACAGAAACATGAGAACGCTTGTCATTTATGATCAGTGCTACCCCATATCCTGCACCATTAACCACATCTATGCATGTCAAAGTAACAGGTGTGTTTTAAAAAATGCTTGAGGCTTCAGATACAGATAGATGTCAGTACTGCGGCCTACACAGCACCAGGCAATGCTTATAGCCCCGCCCCTGAGCTCCGACATATACAGCCTGCATTAAAAATGGATCTCTACAGGTTGCAGGGCAGCAGTAAAGCAACCTACACTAACTAATCAAATGCTTTGACTGTTTAGGAAGTGTCAGGAATGCAATTCTGTGCAAATATCTGACCTGTCTATAGAAACTGGGATGGTAATGACGACAAATATTTTTTCACAATGGAAGCGGTCTGGTTATTTTGCAGCAGTATTATAATGAGGCCAGTTCCTGTCTGGAATACAAAGGGCTGTAATAAGAAAGGATTTGCAGAGAAATTTGTCCTGTGTAACTGCATCTACATTCGTTTTGTGCGAATGGAGCAACGCAAACGGTTTTAATATATTTCCTTTCCAGGTCGAATGAAATATCAGGAAAATACCGCATTATGGCCACTTGACTCTTGGCTGCTAGACCGCTCCCTGCAGCCTCTTCTCTCCTTTGTTTCTGAGATACATCTGGTGGCCATAATGGAAATAAATACTTACAATAAATACTCCTTTCCGGTGCTCCTCAGCTCCATCTTGTGGCCATAATGGAAATAAATACTTACAATAAATACTCCTTTCCGGTGCTCCTCAGCTCCATCTTGTGGCCATAATGGAAATAAATACTTACAATAAATACTCCTTTCCGGTGCTCCTCAGCTCCATCTTGTGGCCATAATGGAAATAAATACTTACAATAAATGCTCCTTTCCGATGCTCCTCAGCTCCATCTAGTGGCCATAATGGGATTAACAACTTGCTGACCGGGGTGTTTACACCCCCTTCCTGTCCCGGCCATTTTTCAGTATTCAGCACTGCGGTACTTTGACTGATGTTTATCATATGTTTAATGCAACGCTGTACTGAAATGAATTTTATACCATTTTTTGGGGACAGATAGAACTTTCTTTTGGTGGTATTTAATCACCACTGGGGGGGTTTATTTTTTTTACTATATAACAAAAAAAATACTGAATATTTAAAAAAATAAATGGTTTTCCCTTTATTATTTTAGGAAACATTTATTTTTACCCAGTTTTTTGGTAAAATAAGGCACATGTAACATGTGCAGCATAATTGGAGCAATCGTTGTTTTCGCGGATTTTGTTTTGTGTGTGTAAATTTTTATTTATTTTGTGAGAATTTTTTTTTTTTACTTTTTTTACACTTAACTTTATTGTTTTCACATAGGGTGCTAAGAAGTCCCCTATATGATAACAAATTACAGTGACAGGTCCCCTGTATTGAGACATCAGAGGTCTCTAAGACCCCTAATGTCACCTAGAGACCTCCAGAGAAGCTGATGAAGCACAGGTCTGCTTCATCAGCTTCTCTCTGGACTCTGTACCGGAGAGTGACAGAGTAATGAGGAAGTGATGTAATATACATCACTTCCTGCATTCAGAGACCGGGAGGAGATCGGGTACTGATCTCTCTCCGTTCTCAGTGCACAGAGCCACATCGCCCGGGATGGATGGACGCCCGGGATCGTGGCGGCGGGGACACCAACGGCAACCAGAGGTAAGGAAAGGGGGGGGGGGCGCACCTTCACTTCCATCCATCTTCACAGACGCCGGACGGCTTGTATGTAAACGTTTAAAATCCAGACGCTTTCCCGCTCGTTCGCACCAGGGGGCGCGCGAGCGGGCACGAAGGACGTCTAAAGACGCCCACCCGCATCCAGGAGACTCCCGTTCAGGGGACAGGAGGTGGGTAAATACTTTTTTCTTATGCTCCTCAGCTCTATCTAATGGTCATAATGGGAATACATACTTCTTTCCTATGCTCCTCAGCTCCATCTAATGGCTATAATATGGTATTTCCTAAATGTTGCATTTGACCTAAAAAGAAAATATGCCTCGGCTGTGGTATGTCCTTCGGCGTCCTCATGTCTAATGCAGGTGAATGAACCTGCATTAGACATGATGATCTCATTGGTCCTTAGATCGCTGGAGCCTGAGGGAGAAGAGGTTGCAGGGACCAGTCTGGCAGCCAGGTGGAATTAAGGATCAGGTAAGTTCATATATATTTTTTATTTGAGCCCCTAGGCCAAAATGAGCCGTTAACCTTTGCAGTGTGGGGGTAACTTTTTAGATTTGTGGAGTTCCTCTTTAAAGCTGAACTTCAAGCAAATCAAAAAGACTCAAATGACTCTGTATTCATTATCGCTTTATTAACCACTTGCTGACCGCGGTGTTACACCCCCTTCCCATCCAGGCCATTTTTCAGTACTCAGCACTGCGGTACTTTGACTGACATTTATTCCATCATGCAGCGCTGTACTGAAATGAATTTTATTAAAAAAATTTGGGGACACATAGAGCTTTCTTTTGGTGGTATTTAATCACCACTGGGGGTTTTTATTTTTTACTATAAAACATCAGTCCCCAAATTTTTGGTAAAATATAAAAGACGGGGTCACGTCGGGTAAAAAGACACCAAACATGTTAAGCTTTAAAGTTGCGCGCACCTGCGAAATCGCAAAAAACTAACATGCTAAAATTGGCCACAGGCGACGCTTTAAAAGCTTTTGCCGCTCATCAGTTGAGTGTTATCAGTGATTGATGGGCCTAGAATTATTGCTCTCACTGTGACATTAGCGGTGATATGTAACACGTGTGGCGTAATTGTTGTTTTCACACATAGGCGCACCCGACACGTATTTACGTTGATATGCACGTGAACGCGAGGACAGGGTATTTTTTGGGGTGTTTTTTTTTATCTTTTTTTTTTTTTTTACACTTCACTTAATTGTTATCACATAGGGGGGCTAACAAGCCCCCCTATGTGATAGCACACATACAGTGACAGGTCCCCTTTATGGAGACATCAGGGGTCTCTAAGACCCTTAATGTCACCTGGGAACCCCCAAAAAAGCTGATGAAGCAGAGATTTGCTTCACCAACTTCTTCTCTGGCTATAGCAGCCAGAGAAATGACAGCTAAAGGCGGAAGTGATGTAATACACATCACTTCCGCCTTCTGCTGATCTCTCCTCCATTCTCTGTATAGGCAGCCGCT